ATCTTATACCAATAATGACATATCTGGGAAAAGCAGTCAGATTGATTCAGGGACACGACTAAACGAAAGTGGTCTCTTTTGAGGCTCTAGCACATGCACCTGTAATGCCATATGGTTTTAGAAAGTACCCCCTCAGAAATAGCAGAGTGAGGAACAGAGGCTGTTAAAAGTGCCACATAAAAGCTGGTGTGGCGCTGAATTATGGCCTGTAACGTGACGAGCCACACTGCACTGCTGCCGCTGGGGCTCTTGGTGGGTCCCAGTCCCATATGCGGTTGCTGTCAGGTGGCCCGACATTAGAAGTATTATGTGGTGTGAGCGCACATATGTGGAGGCTGAGGTTAGCGTTTGGGGAGACTTGTTCAAGTGGCACATCTAACCCTGCTGTCCTTTGGCTACTGCCCTCATTTATAACATATGTGGATAATAGCTATAACTACCAGACCCCTTTAAGACTCTTTATTGAGTTGATGCAACATTTCTACAGCCCAATACATAGGCTACGTATGTAAAAAAAAAAAAAAAATAATTAGGGGTGTCAAATTATCGCGTTAATTGCGATTAATTAATTACAGTCATATTTAGCGCGTTATGTTTTTTAATCGCGTTAATCTCATTTTTAATCTCTAACTTTACTGTTTCTGTATGCGAGTTGCTTTATTATAAAACCTGTTTTTATGTGTTGTTGGGACAACAACACACACACACACACACACAAAAACACATTTATACATTTTTTTTATTTCGGTAATTCCACTCATTGCCGGAAACCCACACAAAACGCGCGCAGTAAGAGCAACGTAAACGTCATGTTAACGTTGGCGGCGTCAGTCGCACAATGGACGAGGTCGAAGAGCCAGTAGAACACAGGCAGCAGTGCACAGGTAAAAACACATTCGTGTCTTGGAAATTATTCTCCCAACGTGAAATATAAAAGAAAATAACAAATATAATATCGCCTACAACTTAAATGTCACTGGTGAAAACAACCTGCATAGACTCATGATGTCTGCACTACTGTCCTATAGTGACCTGCGACACGAGGGGACACGCACACAAACACACACAAATACACACAAACACACACAAACAAACACACACCTTCATCATCGTCATTAACCTGAGAACGCGCGGACCACGTTTCCTTCCGTAGTTACTGCGCGGACACCGACGTGCTCCCGTGCGCCGCGTGTGGATCGTGTTTTCTCGCGTACGCGGCGTAAACCGCGCTTCGTCCTGTGCGCCTCTAAACCAGAACTAACACCAAGACTAAAACCAGGACTAATCCAGTCCAGGACTAAACCAGGACTAAACCAGGTCTAAACCAGGTCTAAACCAGGTCTAAACCAGGACTAAACCAGGACTAAACCAGGCCTAAACCAGAACTAAAACCAGGTCTAAACCAGGTCTAAACCAGGACTAAACCAGAACTAACACCAGGACTAAAACCAGGATTAATCCATTCCAGGACTAAACTAGGACTAAAGTAGGACTAAAGCAGGTCTAAACCAGGACTAAAACAAGGACTAACACCAGTGATCTCATATATAAAGCATTTCTCTATCAATAATATTTTTAATATGGTTAAGGAAAGACTGGACTTTTTATTGTCTTTAAGTAGACAAAAGTTATTATGTTCAGATTTCCTCGTCTTTGCTACTTTACAGCAAACAGTTTCTTATTCATGGAGACTTAGGCTCAACAGCCAATTTGGAGAGATTTGTTAAACAATAAATGACTTTATAAAGTCACTTTTTTAAATCTATATCAGTCTTTTGATCTGCCACAATAATGTAATAATGAATTTAAATGAAAATACCTCAAATTGAAGGCTTTTCTCAGCAATTTTTAGGTGAGATTAAAATGAGATTAATTAGATTAATTAATTGCAGATCATAATTAATTAATCTCTCTATTTTTTTAATCGCATGACAGCACTAATAATAATAATTAAAATCTATAAATTAATGCATGTAATAAAATACAGACAAAATGTATAAGTTACAATCATTCTAAATTTTACAGGCAGACAGGTAACTATATCATTCAATAAATGATTAGATGGAACAATCATTTTTGGGGGTCCATGTGTATCATGGGTATTTCTTTGTACTAGTGGGGTACTTTTTGTTCTTTTCTGAAGATAGAGCTGTAGAGGGTTGAATAAATAAGTGCACCTCATGTTCATTAATAATACTGTACATAGTGAATAGTTTTTTGGGGGAAATCCTGTTTTTGGGTTATTGCGTCAGTGACAAAATGGCATTCTATATTATCGTTTTATCTACTTCAAAGTTTTATATCGCAACAGACCTTATAGCTTATTCATCACAGTCTTTGGGCATGCAGCATCCTAAAAAACAACCCTTTGCAGTTTGGCCTTGTATATGTCCAAAGCAAATTCACTATGATCTTCTACATGAAACCAAGGCTGTCTCTAACATATTTACTTACATGGGGTGGCATGAGAAGATGTATTGTGGAAAAAGAAAACGCCTGACCAAAACATAGTGAAACCACACGAAGAGAAATAGTCATGACGTTACCTTTAGTGTATCCAACTGTGAGCTACTGCACTGTCACTCAACATTCGCTTCAGACCAGGGCCTAAATGTATAAAAGGGGAAATGATCCAAGAACGTACATAAACTACCAAGGACTCTCCAACTCTTAGTGACGGCTCAGGCTCCTGACTTCATAATGTCTTAAACTTCAAAGCTCCGTGGCCCTGCTCAGTGTCTGAACACAAAGTGAGACCCAGTGTTGTTATAGTTACATCAGTGCTGAAAGTCAATCCCAAACAAACACCAATCCGGTCAAATTAAATGCTACCACCTGCTGGAGTGCATCTCTTGGCTCTTATCTACCACTTTCCACTCAAGCTTTAAGAAGGACCATTGTACGACTAACTAGATTTAGCTAAGATTAAGAGATTATATATTATTGCTCATTTAAAAGTTGGCACTTATTGTATGAATATCTGAGAATACTACAAAGAAAATGTCCCTGTCTCCCCACATATACAAAGTAATTTTTTTTACAATACTCTCGCTGGTCAGTAAGAAATAAAAAGATGGCTATCTGAATTATTTGGGCCAGTTAATTAATGATTAAAGGTGCACTGCGTATTATTTTCCACCACATGCTTATCTCCATGGAAACATTATTGCTTTGTCTAGAATGTTCCACAGTTGCAGGTTGCAGTAAAACACAACAATACAATTCAGATCTGTGGAGAATCAGCCCTATTCACAAAAGGAATCATTGTATTTTTGGGCAATAGAAACACCCGTAATGAATACATGCTGATAGATATGTTTAATATCATATCATGGAATATTCCAGGCAAAGCAATAACATCTCCATGGAAATTAGTATCCTCAAATGTTGTGCAGTGCACCTGTAATATGTAATGTAAGGAAAAGTATGTAAACAGCCCTACACAGCAAACATAAAATAACCAAATTAATGTTATAAATTATTATTATCTTGACAACCTTCAGTGAGTCCAAAACAAAAACTTGTTACTAAATTGGGTTCAAAACAGTCATAGATTTCTTTATAAGGATCTTTTCACCTCTGTACTGAATTTGCTAATCGCCATTCTTACAGGAGCACATCGTCAGCTGTCACTGTGCACACGTCTGGAGAGAAGACAAGCTGAACTAACAAGGTCAAATATGAGTCAGTCAGGATGTAATGACAGGCTTCAAACCTCTAATCCAACAAACTAATACTGAGCCCTATTAACCTGTACAGGGAAGCAGTCAGACAACACAACTGTAACTGCCTTTATTAGTTCCAACATGTGTCGGAAACATCAAGCTAAGGTTAAACTGATGAAGAGAATGACATCAGGTTAAGACCATGACTGCTATGACTGCAATGTACTCAAAGCAGTGCCTTGCCTTGACTGATTCTATGTTATCAGATTATCAATTCAGTTTGGGCAACTATTTTAGTTTAAGAACCAAAATCTAATAAAAGCAACTTAAAAACAATGTATATATTTTCAATACAAGAACCTAATGGACTAATAATAAATGCCTCATTAGAAATTTGGAGTTGGGAAAAACACATTTTGCATTAAGCTTATAGTGAAAAACATCATACCATATTAAGGCAACACTGAAAACCCTGTACCCAATACGCAATGCGAGAAACGGTCCAAGAACAGATTCAGGTTTTGAAATAAGGACTTCATAAATTGTCTGACTTATCTCCAGACAAAACACTTTTGAACTGAAGCTGGACACTGAGTATGAGTAATGTGGCAAGGCAGGAGTGTCACAATTAAACAGAAAATGTGAAGAAATCACAAATTATCATTTTACATTCATACAAATTTGCTTATCTAAACCTGACAGCCACCAGTGAAGATAGTGCAGTTTTTGCAAAGAGGATTTGCAACTCTAAAGACACACTGACTGGGATGTTACCAAATACAATTTTCTTTATGTAATTTTAATACCAGTTTCTATGTGTTATTACTGCTTTTGTGTGTTCTTTTAGCTTCAAACTCTGCGTTACCTCTCCAAGGGACATACCCATGACTCATCCTCTGTCTGGTACATGAACAGGGATTTACAAAATTATTTTCCATCACTGACCTTTCCTTCATTGTGTAAAACCATGTGCGAAAATACATACTTACTCTATGTGTGTGGTTTTCCCTATAGCCACTGACCTCATCCATCATTGAAATGCTCTGATAGTGTGCCAGTGGGACCTTAAAACTAGAGATTCAGGGGATATTGCTATTTGCTGAATTAAGAACTATATTGGTCGCTTTACTGCCCTGTCCTTAAGTTACAATTCATCTGTCATTTTGTGTAGTTCTCTCAGCTATACTATACTATACTATACTATACTATACTCTGGCTTCTATAAGTTTTTATCTTGAATGAAATCCATTTAATCCTAAAATTATTACTCTACAAAAAATATATTTTTTTAAATTTCAATTTCACTGTAACACTCAACAGAAAAGTCCAACTCACCAGTATTCCGGCAGCTGTATCAGTTTGGCATAGAGCGCAGTGCTAAAGGAGGGTATGATGGTGATGAGAGGGAGGAAGGCCCCAGTGCTGTCCTGACATGTCAAACCAGTTTGAAAACCAAACACCTGAAGAAAAGCAACAGGGCACAATTGTTAAACAAATTAGTCAGTGAAGGATGCAACCTCTGTGTTTTTAAATGGCCTCGTGGTTGATAATTTGGATTTAGTAAACAATCATAAATAATGAGACAATAGCTGACCATTACCAGTGGGTCAGTCACTCTAGCTCTGACAGCATCAATAAAATAGAGACTAAGATAAGCCATGGTTTAAACCCACTTCGGATCACTTCCTGAACTGGGTGAAATGCAGCCACAGTGACCTCCACTCTGTCATGATCTCACTGCCAAAAACCAGAAGGAGGGAAATAATACCATTGTAGATACAGAGGCTGATTAACAGCGTGGTCTGTGTGGGCCTTGGCCACTGACTACACGACCCCACCCTGACCCTGTGATAAGAATTGCCAGCATGAAGTCCACCAAACATCCTGCCTTCTACCATTAAAAAACACATCCAAGAGGATGACGTCTAGATGCTTGGGCAGTACAAGCACCCAAGGCGGCCTCCTAAACAAACTGAACAAAGACTTCAAAATGAACAAATAGTTCTTCATTTATTCAGCCATAGTAACTACGTAATAGATAAACAGAGTTCATTTTATTTTTAACAAGAATACAGTTTGCCGTTCTAAATCTCAAGATCAGAGCCCGATCTTTTCCCTGAACAGAGATGCATGCATAGATATCAATTGCCAGGTATTTTATAGTAGAACTTTGGTGATTAGAAAGAATTCACCTTTTTTTTCTAATTGAATATTTTGATACATCCAGTCATCTCCTGAATGAGAGAGTCCAGAGTGGGACTGGTGTGCTTCACAAAAACAGTGGTGAGCTCTTTATGCCCAGGTGAAAAGGGGTCATCAGAGCCGCTAAAAGGTTCACAAAGGTCATGATGCAGTGAAGCTGTGAAAAGTGCTATATGGCATTCCTATTTCAAACACCTACTTAAATTGTATATAGATTGGTTCATAAAACATCAGCCATGAATACGCTCAAGGATACGCTATGGGTTTTTTTTTAGTAATCAATCATCGGAAATGTAAGCTTTTAATTAAGTCCATTTATGGCTATTACCACACCATCTCTACACTTCAGTTAAAGAGGTCATATATATGGCTATATCTAAATTACTATAATCAGCCTTGCATAATACTAAATATGAAATTGGACATTACATTTTGTATTTAACTTTTTCTGTATTTGTGCTGTCTTGACTTTTTAATGTGTCCATATTTATTATATTTCAATCTTTTTATTTTAGTTTAAAGATCTCTAATGTAATTTGTGGTATTCATGTCTCACCTTGAGGTAGAGATGTGCATAGCAGTGGTGCAGGAGATTGTCTGAAGGCTGACTCAGGCTGCTCACTGTGCTGATGAGCTCTGGAGCATACATAGGCACTGAGTGCTCAACATTTACTTTTTCCACTTTGAACTGCACCGAAGGAAGAGGACGCATAGGCTGAAACACTGGTATATGGAGAGGCATCTGGACAGCCTAAAAGAAAGAAAATATGTTTAAAATGTTCTAAACCAAGCAAAATTATCTTGTTTAGTTCAATGTATAATTCTGTTACCTTTTGCCCCATGATAATAGGCATTAGTGTGTGTAGTAGGTTGAATTCTGCCATTGAAATAGTCAAAGAAACTTGATGAAAAGTTAAACATGTCAATCTAGATGGAATGAACTCTTCCAATTTTGCAATTTCTTCTGAAGTAGGTGGAGCAAGCCTCTCTTCAATGGTTTCTATAATGGCATAAAAAGACAGAAAAAAATGTTCCATTACAATTTCAAGGCAAAATGTAAATATATACAAATAACAATACAAAATACACATTATTATATATTTATCACAAACCAATAAATCATACTTTAGTTTAAACTTTAGTATTGGTGCAGACCATGCATTGTATAAATAGGTCTAATTTCTAGGTAGATAGGTAGATAGGTAGATAGATAGATAGATAGATAGATAGATAGATAGATAGATAGATAGATTTTATTTTGCTTTGCCTTAATTGGAATAAGTAATGTATATGTACTTTCCTAGCAAAAACAAAAGTCAAAACTGGCGAGTGAGCATGTATCATATAAATATGGCAACTATTAAAAACACTAAAAGCTCTGGAATCAATTCATAAATCATTTGTTTGGGAAATGGTTGCTTCATAGCCTTAGGAGGAAGACTCTTGACCTCTACTTAATCCTAAAAAGGTCCACACATCCTGTCTGAGACTTGTTAGGATTCATAACTAATGGTGTGCACCAGTGATTGTAGTGGACACATAAGAGGAGTTGGCAATTCTTTGGAAAGACGCTGTTCCTGTTATCTCCTTTCAGTTTCTCAATCCCTCCTGGGGGTCTGCATAAACTTACCCTCCTTTAACATAGGCCAGAGAGACAGACACATCCAAACAGGAAGAACAGAGCGACCTACCTTGCCTCACTCAAAAGTTCTACAGTAATTATTCCATCATTTATTATCTATTGCAGATGCTCAAACAAAAACCCACGGATGTTATCTTTCTGAAAAATTTGAGTTATTGCTGGAAATATTACACAAGGACGTGCACTGAAAGCAGTTTCACAACATCCACAGATGACCTCATAAAAGCCATGCGAGGCTGATCACCAACAAAGGTGTTTGGCTACAGCTCCCCACTATGGTCCAAGAGGTCACTACTTTCATGTACAGATGTGTGTTGAGAGAAGAGTTGTGCAAGAAAATAACAAGGCGGTGAGGGTACAGTACAGTAATGCAAAGGGCCAAAATTTTATGCTTGCAGTACTATATGTGCGGGCTGTGCATTCAGAAAAGCAATAACAGAAAGACAGCATGAATTTAAGTTAAATATTAAATAGAGATGCACCAATGTAGCTTTTTCAGATTTGATACAGATTCCGATACAATAGCTTTAAGAATCTGCCTATACCCAATATCAGATGATACCAATGCAGAGTCTGAAAACAGCATTTTTTTTTTCCTTTAAACAAAAATTATAAAAGACAAAACTGATCTTATACTAATATGTATTGTACTGTGATTATTCTCTCAAGTATCTACAGAAAAGCTTTGTATAAATAAAAGTTTGAACATTATGAGACTTCCTGGGCTAACTACGACCAGTAAATAGTCTTATTACATCAATTTATATTTCCAACCAGGATATCGTCTGAACCGATATTTGAAAACCGATTTCTGGTCCTGTAAAATTTTCAGTATCAGCACAGAAGTCTGATAACAGCATTGTAACGGTGGATGCCTAATGTTCAGTACACACCTTCTACCAGAAAAAAATGCTCAAAGTTTTGTTAGTTTTTTCTCATCACACTCTGAAAAAACACAGACTGAAAAAAACTTTTTAAAAGAGTTTGCAAAATGCCTTTTCTCTTCAACTCAACTTCAAAATTATGTGAATTTATCTACCTTTAGATCATTTGTGAAATGACAGGGAGTTGATGTGGACAAACCTTGCTGGGGTTTACAGTAGGGCTCATACTCGTGATCCATGGCACACGTGATCATCTTGAGGATGCGATGTACTGCACTGCTGTGGAGCCGAATGTCCAGAGGTCCAACTACCAGCCGCTTAATGGACGTCTCTTGGAAGGATGGGACGGTCTCCTCTCCACTCATGAGTGAAACCTCCTGCGTCTCTGCAAACAACATGTATGTATGATTTGTAACATGTTCAATTGCTATTCTCATGTCCAAAAAGAGAAAAAATACCTTAAACATGCAGAATATATCTAAATTGAAGTTTTCCTGGTCATGCTTAAAGGCACACTATGTAACTTTTCTGGTACAAGTCCAGCACCTGGTTGTGTCCATGGAGGTATGCACAGCACCACAGCATGGCATTGAAATTTATTATTGAACGATAGGTGTGTTTTACAATCAAAACAACTGAAACATACATTCTACTATAAGGGGGACAACCTCTCCACAAATCAGATCTGTAAATCGGCATGGTGCTTGTTTCCACGGAAATAGATACTGTGAAAAATTCAGGTCAAAGCAACAAAATCTTGCACCTTTAAGAAATACCTAAATGGATGTTGTGTTTATATCTCTATTTAGAAAAAAAATAGTCCAGAAGTTTATATGGCAGCTGTGTATTGATGAAGTGTTGAATGAACAAACTACAAAAAGGGGTCTGGTGTAACGCGGCGGCAGCAGCAGCAGCTCACAGAGGCCTTAGCGACTGGAATGATGAATATTCCAAATGTCCACTTCCCGTTCACAGCTGTCCCCTCATTCATCGCAGACCTCCACAGCAGAGGTCGACTTGAAAGACTTCCCAGCAGTAAAAGGCAGAAATTAAAAATACAGGAAGGGGTGGATGGATGGCAGAGGGGAGCTAGAGGGCAGCCATAAGTTGGTTTATTCATGTTACGTTACATTATCAAAATGTATCTATTGTAAAGAGCAAAATTTGCAAGATTTAACAATTTGGTGTTTTGCTTGGAAAAGCATTTAAAAGTCCTATATTACACAAAATTTACTGATAATTAAGCCATGTTATAATGCCGTTTCCTCCTCAAAAACATACGCCACTCATTTTGTATCATTCACACCTATCCCTTTATTATTAGTCTGTCTTCATCTTCAAGGCTCAATCAAAGCTCAAAATGCTCTGTTCCACCTTGTGATGTCATGTACTGGTAGTTTTCAAGTTAACAACTACCTCTTACTTCTTGTTTTGTAGAGACTGGCACTTCCAGGACTTAAATCCAAATGATTCTAGTGAAGTTTAAAAACACATTTGAGCACTTCTTGTATTACCATATGAAATCACACAAAACACAACTCCAGGAATGTTTGTGAGAACTAAACAAATCTGAAAATAGCATCTTATTGGCACTTTAAAGCATTAGCAATCTATAAGACTCAAGTTCAGGGAGGTGTGCCTTTACTGAAATTTACAAGAAAGGGCCCATATTCATTGTCGTTTTTGGCCCATAACCATCTTTGGTCATCTCTGAAAATAAATACAAAGTGCTTACAAAATGAAAATAAATCTGCACATCAACCACATTATCATTGTTTCCCCCTGAATCTTCGGTATAGTTGCAATGGACAGGCATAATATCATATGGAGTTAGAATGGCCAAAAGATTAAATGAAGATAAATTTAGCTTAAATTAAATACAGGTAATTCAGAAGTCTCTATTTTCAAAAAAATAAAACCAAAAAAGTAAAGAAAATAATCCACTGGAATGCTTTAATGTGAAATCAATATGACTCAGGTTGACTCACTACTATTTTGGTTGACTCAACGGTTTACACTAGTCCCATTGCAATGGAGACCAATTTGTTTGCTTGACACTGGATCTGCCCCATGTACATCTAGGAAAAAAGCTGTGACAGGAGGACGTCAAACAGCTTTCTGACAGCCATGGATGAGACTATCTGTGTTTATTTTAATTTAGATACTTATCTCAGGCTGACAGAGTAGGAAACAATCCACTAGTCAGAAGTAACACCAGAAACAGAGCAGTTGAAAATTAGAAAGATATAGACTAACTAAAGCTAAAGTGAATTTAAATCTACTTTTGTTCTTGTTGAAATCACTACCACAAGGGACCTGAGCAACTCTAGACACAATAGTTTTTTTCTGCTTAAATGTGATCAAAAATATGAAAAATGGAAAACGCACAATATTCCCTCACCCGCTTTTGATGTGATAATGGATAGAAATATGTTTTGCTCCTTTTGTTTGCATTGGAATCTTGTTTTAATCAATGATGTATTAAACTGAAATTGCCAGTCATTTGGAAAACAAATAGTTGAAAATTCAGACATCAAAGGGGAAATTAGATTTTTCAGCTGTGGTGAACGTTTTATCTGTAAATGCTAACCTCAGATCCTTACATCTTGAATAAACATTGTCGAGTGCATGGACTGAGAACAGAGGAATCCTGCCCGTCTTTAACCGTCTGCCAGCAAGAGTGACACCTAATTAGGCAAAAGGGGCCTATTCACTTTCTCAATAGCTTACAGGTAGAGACACAGTGTTTCAACAAGCAGCAAAGAGAAAGAAACTCAAATATGTGTCAGCACAGACTAAACACTTTTGACAGCTGCCCTCCAGGTAAGTTTGGGGTGAGCGGGAGGACAGGAAGGGTCAAGGACCAGGTGGTTGTGGCTCAAACAAGACAAACTCTTTATTCACTTCTCCAAGGAGCTGCTCTGACACCGCGAACAAACAGAGGTGGTGAGGCAGAAAACAGGTACAACAAGATACAAGTAAGTATTTGAGATCAATATTTGGAAACAAAATATGTGAGAAAGAAGTAATTTATTATATGTAACAAAATCCCAAACTTTAACCAGATCAAAATCCATGGCCAAAACTACACTAAACCAGAACTAAAGTACTACTTCCTTCAAACTGACATAATATGAGAATCTTTTTGAGGACATCTATATTTTGAGAGAATACAATTTTTGATATAGACTATTTATATAACTACAGTGAGAATCTGGATACTGAATCAGTGGCACAGTATGCATACAAACTCCACAATCTAATTTAAACCTTACCTTTGCCACCACTATTCTCCATTGTGTAGAGGTAATCCATGTAGAAAGCACCAAAGCGCTGCATGCCTGCTATCTCTGTGTAGGTCTCCTAAGAAACAAAAGAAAAAGAAGAGGGTAAACACGGCAGGACCCATGCAAACATGATGATAGCCTTTGATGGTGCCCATGACAGAGGTCGTGCTGGATTCAACAGATGGGGTCAAAGATAACATAACTGTAGGAAATTTACTGTAGCAAAATGTCAACTGTGATTATAAAAGCTGAAGAGAAACTATTTTAAAAGCTGGCTACCGCGTGCTGTTAGCATGTTGTTAGGCATATTTCTTCCAGATTTGTACATATTTCCATTTGTTCTACACTACAATTCACATAACCTGGGAAAAATGTAAAATTTTACAGCATTAATTATAGACAGAAAAAAGAATTACTGTACAGATAAACTTAAGAATATAACAATACACCCCAAGTAATGCAGTAGATAAGTCATGCCAAAGAAACATGTTCTGCACAAAATGAATTGGAAGCTCATTCACCCCTACTTGGAAGTGTGCCACCAAAAATAAAACTAAGTAGGTCTTATCATCTGAAAATAGGACTTAGAAAGCAGATCAAAATGTTCTAACAGTAATTTAAGGGCTTTGGCCAATGTTTCACAATAAATTGCGGGAAAAAAAACAAAAAAACTGTTAGGTAACAATTTATCATTACATGTTTTAAAAAGCATGTAAGTCATTTTACACCATCTTCTGAAACTGTAATATTAAAGTTTAAAATTAAACTATAAAAAAGGGTTTTTCAGTTTTATTTAAGGTTGGTTTTTTTTTGTTTTTTTTTTCAGAAACGTAATTATGTAGGTAAAAATACAATCAGTACCTGAGTAATATTGCATTGAGGATATACTGCAGCACAACTATTGTTTCTGCAAATAAAAAATGACTGCAACCAATGTACAACTGTTTTAATAGAGATGTTGTTCCATCTCTAGATGCACAATGAAGCTAAAAAGGGAGTTCTACATTTAACCAAAAATTAAAAAAACTAAAAAGATTTTACATAAGTGAAAACTTAATTTGGAACTTAAGAAAATCTGTCTTTGTCTAGATTTTAAAATACTATTATCATCATGATATCAGTTATCAGCCTCAGTAGCAAGACAGATAAAGGATGTCTGTATTGTCTGAACCAAATCATACATTCAGCATTATTTTAGAATAACTTTTTCCGCTTTACAAAAAAAAACAAAAAACATAACGATTCAGTAGGCTGGCATACATCTGGTTATTTTCCATCCCTATAGCAATAAGAATTCTACAACAAACTGAAACATCAAACAATGAATGAACAAGCAAAACAATATAAAGGGAGCGGGAGAGGGACAACTTACTCAAACACACAGTTATTTAAACAGCCACCTCAATGGGCTCTTATCAGAAAGTTAATCAGTAATATTTATTAGGTCACTTCTAATAGTCATACCAAGCTCTTGGATCAAAGCCATTGGCTGTTTTTATAGTGCTCATGAATTAACACCAAAACCTTTGAGTTTCAAGTATGGGACGATCAATAGGACGACGGATGGATGCAGTACAAACAACTGCTTCATTGAGAGTCATTAACATTGCTTGGTTTGAGCAAACACTAATGGTATGACTGCTGAGGTGAGCTGTTATCTTGAGTTATAGCCCTAATAGATTTTAGACTAGTAGTCACAAAACAGGCTACAACTGATATAAACATGTAACCTAATGATAGTGCCTAAGACACAAAATGGACAACAAAGTTATTATTAAAATGTAAATGTGTGTGTTTTTCTTTTGTATTGATTTTGAATGCAGCTTGATGTACTTTAATTGAGAGGGTTTTGTCCCAGGCTTGGCCTGTAGCTAACTGTTTAATTTATCACAGATGTTTCCTGATCCTGATATAATTAAAATCACATCTGACTATGTTCTGGCCTGAAATACACACAGAAGGACAGAACAGGTGGATAAAGTGTCGTTTTATGATGACCTTGTGATTAGCAGCATCCAGGATGAACTCAGCCCTCACTCCATTGTTCTCTGGGCTTCGGTAGTCAAACAGGGAGTTAGTAAGGTACGTCATGCCTTTACTGCTCAGGCTGTCCCCACACATGAAGAACACTGCATCCTATTCAGAAAAAAAAGAAAGACTAAGAAGTAATATTATACTGAACTAGGCATTTGCATTGTGTCTTGAAGGCTTAATTGGAGCAGTGGGTATGAAAGGGGAGAAAGAGTGGAGAGAGAGTGGGGAGAGAGAGTGGGGAGAGACATTTGCAAATTGTTGGAGCCAGATGCTGAGGCAGGCAAGTGACCGAATATGCATGATGCAACCAAATCCTTGGCCTGGGCCATCCTGCAGCTCAACATTTACAGCAAATTTAATCTTCACCTTCTCATTTCGATTCATGTTTTCCTCAAAATCTCGAACTCCCATGATGCTTTTCAGGCACAGCGCCTGGCAACCCACAAAGCCAATTTGACAATTGAAGAAGGGCTCTCCCATCATCAGCACCTGGAACACATATTTAATGCAGCCATACTTTTACTAGTTTAAAAACTTAACCTTACCTCGGGATGCCATGTAAGCAACACTCTAAACATTAGATGGACTACAAAAAATAATGGTTATGTAAAATTCAATTGTATCGTTAAAGATGCTGTGCACACCCATTTAGCTGCAGCATGATAAACAATGCAAAATAACACGTTATGTTTTAACATACAAGAAAAAAACAGCATAACTTATTAAAAATGTCATCATTTCATGTTCATCCCCTTTCCAGGGCCTGGAAAAGTTTCACATCTGGCAGCACGTTTTAGAGAAGAAAATTACTTGAGTTTGAATTGAATCAATGCTTAACATATTTCTGATTTAAGCACAATCAGGGCTTGCTAAGGCCTACTTATTTGTTCATCAAATCCTATACATTTTATACTAAAGGTAATGATATGACAATGCAATTACCAGTAGTATCAGACTAGTGAGAAAGTGACCGGTGTGTTTTACCTCAATAGTAATTCCCTCATTTTCCAAGCACAAAACCTCTCTGGACTTGACTTTTTGAGGACTGTAGTAGCTGCTTTCCGACTGGGTCTCAGTCAACTGAAAGAGAACAAAGGTTAAGGTAGAAACAGACAAATGAGCATTTAACTTTAAAGACATGAGCACATAGTGAACAAGATGTACCGGAAACAGGCGTGAACCTGGAAGCAGCTGTGGCTTATTATCCAAGAATTTATAATTTTCTGTTATATAAATCCATGTAAAATCAGAAATAGTGTCGACTTTTTCCAGAACAACCTTTTGTGGTTATCACCCCATGTAATCTAGCCATCACTCACTGTAAACTGGAGATTTATTTGTACCTAGTGAATAAATGTGGGAGTAAATATTTAGCTATTGTTATACTATTTTGTGTCTGTGTGAGCCCTATTTATACCTTCTACAGAGAACCCATAGCTGCAAAGCCAGACAACACTAAACTACACGGTGAATAAAGGATTAAATTTGTGGGACATGCATAAGACATTTTGAGAGTACACTTAAGACATACCTTGAATGTAACTGAAGCCTTGGTGCAGTAGAAACCAATGGACACTATGGGGTCTTTGGGAGTGTGGTGATGAAGACTTTTTGTGATGCCTCCTCCTTCTTGTTCTTCATACAGGTCTTCCCCTTCCTCCTCTGCTCCGACAATGGCTGGAACAAAGGACCAAGCCCAGGACACCCAGCCCTGGTCTGGCTCTCCTGGACTGTTGGCTGAGTGCATGTAGAGGTCTGGACTAGACATAGGGCTCTCCATATTCACATCCATATCTGTGTGAGAAATATACATGTAAAATGTGTTGAATGAGAGATATGGATAGGATTAGCTATGAGAGCATGAGGTCTGGAGGAAGACCAAAGAGGAGATGGATGTAGTGAAAGTGGACATGGATAGAGAGAACAGAGCTAAATGGAGGCAGATGACTTGCAGAAGCATCCCCTGAAGCAAATAGTCAAAATATTGAGATTTGAACAAATCTTACAAACACATGTGAATAGACTACTTCTGCAGAAATGGTATGTTTTAAATGTGTGATCAATTCACTACTGAATATGTCCATGTCTTTAGGCTTCACTAAAAAGGCATGATGTTTTAGCTAAAAGTTAAACTAAAACACAAGGGGAATGTATCCTAGCTGTCCTTGCTTCTATGCAACTGCAGCAGAAGGTCAAATATTGAGATGTTTGTGTCTTTGAATGAATATCATGAAGTGCATTCTTTTATAGCAAGCACAGTCATCATGAATAGGTAAAAGACTGGAGTAGGTTAGGGCAATGGAGAATTGATGCTTTAGATACATGCATCACTCTATGTGCTACAAAAACAAGTGTCTTTCTATAGGCAATAAGCTAAGCTAAGTGAATGATTCATGCAACTACTGCCTAAATGGATAGTAATGTCAGGATGAAATGTGGCAGAATGATCAACTGACTTAAGATCCGATTTACTGAGTCACATGTCATTTTAATACATCCTTTGAGTGTGCTTTTAGAAAAAACTGGTGTAGGTTTTCTAGATTACTTATCTAAACATTCAGTTTAGGGGAAAGGGGTGTCACATATTCTCCAATATACTAGTCCCTCTCCCTGATGCTGACCCTTGAACTCATCCCATCGTGTCCGTTTCCATACGCATCGAGGAGAGAGGAAGCTGAGCTCAATACACAAGAATGTGTAATACCATTCCTCATAGCCTCCGCCAGAAAACAATATTGTCCGTTAGGTCACAGCTTAGGAATCCCAGCGGCCAAGGCGGTGAAAATTATGACATATTTTAATTAAATCTATCAGTTTGTGTGTTGTCAATTTGGAAATCCCTTCTATGTCTTTTCACTCATCAAATATTCCCTTTCAGATTTTATCGCACTTCATCTTCACCATGTCTTTGTTTTTACTCAGTTGAAGTCTTTGAGGTGTCAGTTCAACAAGTTAAGCTCTTTCACTTCATCTAACACCCTGACGACGGCTCGGTTTGAATTAAGGCAATCAAAACAAAGACTAAATTAGCAACGCGCTGATCAAAACAGGGCGGATTAGCCAGAATTTGTTACATAAATCTTCAATGACAAGAGAAACTGAGCTAGTCAGATATGTCAATTAATATCTTATTAGTGCTACTTCAGGGAATTAAATAAAACCACCAGGCTATAACTAACCCAGAGAAGAATTAAATGATTATTGATCACTGAAGTTCAAAATTCAACCTTTAAACCACATCCATCACTTTCAGAAAACACTTTGACACTTGTATGTGTTTACATTTAGGTATTCATTGTCAAACCATGCACATAGCCATATTTTAGTAGGCAGTGCCCTTATAGGCCAGCAGGTGTCCCTCCATGTTTGATCGGAAAGATACCTGACCATTTATCACTTACCCTCACTCACCTTACCCGCTTTTTTCTCAGTCTTAAAATTCAAGAACTCGAGTCAAAAAACTAGATGCTGTGATTAATTATTCATATTATTAATTCATGTGCATTCAACATCTATAAGTTTACTTGTAAAGCTTTTCTTTACTCTTATTGTGTATTTCAATCATATAATGTATTTAGTTTATTTTATAGTATTTGATCATTTTGATGTGGGTTGTTGTTGTTGATTTGTTTGTTTTGTTAGTTTTCATAAGGTTATTGTAACAGAGCTACTAAAACCACATAATTATTCTATGATCATGCAATTGAGTCTTGTATACAATGTGAATAAAACTAGGTGCCTTGTTCGCTGTTTATCAAAGTAGGGAGAGAGGCTACAAACAGACCTAACCGCTCCTGGTTCTTCTCATACTAGCTGCAGTGACCAGCTGATCTATAAACACATGTTGCTCTGACTTTTTCCAGAGTTTCATTGACTTTATTAAATTTTACTGAGATGTCCCAGTCATTACTACAAAATTACTACTACTGAAAGAAGTATTTACATGTTTGTGTTCTCTATAACCCATTTTACAATTTAATTATATGTAATTTTATTTTAATATATGTTGAATGTATAGCTTTAAGGCAGAAACGTATTTATGGCAATACACTTTGAATTTTAAATGCAGGATTGTTAATGTTAAAAAGAAGATGCCTAAATACATTTAAATACATTTAAAACTAGCATTTAGCATTAAGAGTTCTCCTCAACAATCAAAGACAATCACATTACTACAACAATAAAGTATAATAATTGTATATGCCTTTGTTAAAATAACATACAATTAAGTGCACTGCATCTTACCATGAGTAAAATGTTTCTCTCTGTTTGGCCTACTTTTCCTATTCCAAGAGCTGATTCCTTGTATATTTTTGAGATGGGATCCTAATTCATTCAGGCTCTGCATAGCAGGAGCATGACACTGCCTCCTACATCTGGCATTGGTCACTAAACTAGAAGCTGTGCCAATGAGCAGAAGACTTCCAGGCCAAGAGTCAGACCCTGAGGAAGAGTAGTGAATGAACGGGCAGCATTGTGATAAAGTGCATGCATGTCTGCACACTCCGCAAGGAAGATGTAAGCCTGCAGGTCTACTAAGTGTGAAGGGAAAAGCTACTTAAATTTAACTTTTAATGCCCAGGTGTTTTTAAAAAGGTGGATGTGAAACACAAAATGAGATAAGTCAAATCTGCAAATTATGCAAAAAGCCAAACAGAACGATAGCAATAAGAAGAAAATACTACAACGTTTTGAGACAGACATTAGAATTAAATTTTAAACTGTACTATGTGTAGGAACCTGCTGCCTCAAAAGGTTTGTATTTAGATTATTTGGGGGCCCTCTGATACTGTTCAAGTGTAATTTTCTGAAATTGAATTTAAAAAAAATTTAAAAATTTAAAAATACAATTCCTACAGGATGCATTTGTTTTCTCTGTCCACTCATCTGAGCCAGTATTTACATGAAGGACATTAGGCCTGAAGACAGAGGCCTGTGGTGGATTAAGTGTTGTGCAAGTGTTTGGGAGTAAGACAAGAGGAGCACAAACCATGGTCAATGGCGAGCTTCACTGACCCATTCAATAAATAATGATCAGATTTATATGGTAATAATTTCTTAAACTAATGTGATGTGCCCATCAGCAAAAAAATACTCTTTGTGCATTTCAGTTGACAGCATAGGCTGTAGTGCAAATAATTATAACTAAAATATATGAAAGTTCTTACCTGCTTCTTTGACATGCCCACTCCCCTCTTCTCCTTCTCCATCTTTGTGACCTCCAATTTCTCCGTAATAAAGAGCAATAATCAACTCTAATATTCTAATGAACATTGGCAACTGTTGATCCGTGATGGACAACTTCAGGCTCTCAACCATTGTTTGAATCTGAAAAAATATCAAAAATAGATAAAGTCATTTATTTCACTATGAAATCACATATAATATATATGTTTTGTGAGCCAAAACACACATTTATTTTTACCCAAATTATTATAAACGGCTGAAACAATTGTAAATAGCAAGTTTAAGAAATAAAAATGAGAAATATGGGATTGAAAATTCGTACAATAAATGTAATTAAATTACTTGAGTAGTATTTTTCAATAATGATATACTACTATGAATAATTTTCAACATGTTCACTGAGCTCACTTTGATGACTGATGGGATCTTGGAGTTGATGTTGTCGTAAGTGAAGTGAAGCCGTGTCCTGAAGGAGCACTTGTACAACAAAGGGTCCTGGTAAAACTCAATCTTCCCACTGGCGTTCCTTTTGTCCAAGCAGACTGTGCAGTCGGCAAAGTTGATGACCTTCCTGAGCACAAGTTCTGGAGCTGAAACAAATACAAATGATTATGAAATGAGTAATATAGTAAATATCAAGTTTTAAGTAATACAGTAAAAGAAAAATATATTTCATTATAAAGCTTTATAAATTATATTTACCAGCTATGTAAAACATTGTTATAAGTATGTTTAGCACATTACTGTCAAATATGTTACAAAATATAAAAACCAAAACAAAAATAAAAGACCTGCTTTCCAAATTGCAGTTTCAATGTAGGTATTGCAAAAGAAGCTTATAATATTAATATTAAGTTAATTTAGCTATAATAATAATGTGGTTTGCATATGGAAATTAGATTAAGTAAATTTACTTTTTTTTTTTATATGTGTATTAAATTAAATTATGGATGTCACAATGTCAAAATTTTGATTCACCTTTGATTCATTAGCTGCTGGTTTGCCATACACTACGTGACCAGTATTTGTAAGATACATGAAGTGGGCTTCATTTGTTTTTGCTTTTTTTTTTTTTTTTTTTAACTATTTGATTAAATTCTGATAAAAATGATACAATTCTAATACAAAATGTGTATCGACTGCAGCACCACAATAGACAGCACGCCTGGCAACTGAAATAAAAATGGGAGGCCTTACCAGTGATGTCCATGAAAGCCCTCTCCCACATGTCGTCCACAGTATAGCATTCGGCGGCTGTGATATTCACCGACAACACGATGTCATCCTCCACATACTTCAGGATCAGGTTGTTCACCACGATGTTGACATTATTCACCACCCGCCTGATCAGACTCTGCACATATCCTGCAAAAAGCAAAGTAACACATATCAGTACATTATACTATTTCTGAATCACAGCTTGCATTATCAATATACTGTACATCCACTCTGGCCATGCTTTTGCCCTAATGTAGATTTATCATGATCATAAATATTGTCTGTAGAAGTAGGAATGTAAGGAGGTTTGTGATGAAGAGGCATGGGGATGTAAAAAGGCAGAGAAAGGTCCAGTCTGGCAGATTAAGTTTCAGAGCTGGGGGAGCCATTCCACACTGTAACCAGAATGTCCTAATCGCCACAGTGACGCCCAGAAACAGAAGCTACACAGGAAAACATACATGCTTATGTCATTATTACTCAAGCAAAAGCTAACTGAAAGTATCACAGACATGGGAGTTTTACCATAAAATATGAAAATATACAGTCATAAATCTCCCAAACCGCAGGACCAATGGCATTATTCATTCCTCCCATGTACTGTTAAACACTTTATACATGGATCAAATACATGAGCTTTTAAAACCAGTATTGCCACTATTTTCCAAAGTAAATATTAGCCTTCCTGTATCTACATGCCTGGCTGGGGCAATAACACTACCGATAATTAGGCTAAACTAAATGGTCCTGTTGAGAGGAACATTTGGGTGAATTTTTGAGCCACTCCACTGTGACTTGTACACAGGCCTAGACACACACAGGGATAATCCAATTGACCAAACTGTCTTGAAAGTGGTGCTTGGCCAAACCCGGCAGCAGGAAGAGAGGGTGACATAATGTAAACTGGCCTCATAAAGCTAATGCGTGTTTCGTGACATGTGTGCGTGGCTGGGCATGCGCTGCGTCCTGGTGGAGGTAAGCCGGTCTGCTCTAATGCGTGCATGAATGTAACTGTGGGGAAAGGTTTGTGGTTGTGGGGTCGCTCACAACACTGGAGTTGCACCTGCACCTTGGGCAGTAAAACCAGTCCTTTGCCCCCTGCTAGTTCCCTCTCTGGATCTAATTTATCCATGTCAGAGTGTCTTTCTCTCCCCTTTGTAGACCAGCTCACTTGCTATTTCTCCTATCCCCTCACACCCCGTACAGTCCAGCCGCTCAAGACCTCAACTTCTGTAAACAATTGACACAGTCGGCACCTGTGCTGTGGCCCACAGGGAAGCAGTCCACTTAAAACTGTTCAACCATAAAATCACTGGAAAAATGGTTCCTTTATGCCATTTTCAGACTAGGCCAAGTACTCTCCACTGTGCAATTTATGAAAGAACACTTGACTGGTCACCTTTTTCCCTGTATTGCTTATAAGTATGAGCATGCATATTGCATACTGTGCCAGCCACTAGTCATGAACGGTTGCAAAATTTTGAGAATTTGAGAATTAAATGGAATTAACAATAAATAAAACCTTCAAAAGATTGTCTCTTTACTAGGAGTCATGCACAGAAACATAAAAATGTAAATACATACATATAAACTTAAATATCTATTCTTTCACCAGTGGAGAGAATAACAACTTAAAAATGTTATCATTGCCAGATGTGATCACTAGGGCTTGATAAGGAAGAAGTTTTAGGCATCAGGGTCAACAAGTAAGGGGATAGACTTGTTCCACAAAGTGTCTATGTCAGTGTTATATTTGTCTATGTCACAGTGTGTTATATGTGTGGTTGAAAACAGATGGGAATTTTCTGCCCCTTTGCAACCCTATGGTCAAGACAAAGATTTTAGGACGAATTTATGAAGCTCATTAATGTTTAAAAGGACCATAAACAATATTAGTTATTAGTTATTAGCTAAATAAAGGTGATAAGGATTTTATTTATCACATTTGCTTTTTGCTACATGTTTACTCGTTCATAGATCAAATTCTTTAAGCAGTCAAAACATTATAGCAACTAGCATGCAAGCATGCACCGAGTGGCTTTTAAAGTTTTAGCTCCAGAGCTAAAGCTATATTCGACAAGAAACATACTGTATACCAAAACCAAAACAAACATGTCTAATTATGTTAGCCATGCTGGTTGCACACCTCTTATAAAATGTAGCTCTACAGAACAGGGGCGAACACAGGAAAGCTCTGGTGCCTTGGGTTAACTATTACTGTGTATTTCTCAGTAATACCAGAACATGTGAAATTTATTTTCTTAAGATTTCAGGAGCCCCAGTACCAGGACCATAGGGAGTGTTTGTATTTCATTGCTCACAAATCTTCATCTTCCTCCAGTCATAAGCAGACACAGCAAGGTAAGCAAAATTTGTGAGACCCTCACAGTCAAAAGTCTAAAGTATCAATCTCCCTTAAGTATATATACACAGTAGCAACACAGTAGGAATTATGCGCCCTGTTTGGGTTACAGTAGCTATAGCAAGTGGCTCCCTGGGGTAAGTTCAATAATGGCAAGAATGAGAGGCTGCAAAATTTGATTTGTAAAAAGATGATACGTAGGCCATGGGTTTGGTATCCATAACTACTCTATAATATGTCAGTCAGCGTTACTTAAAAGAGTAAATGAAAATTACATATTGGCTTCACAAAGCCACATACACTGAGAGAGAGCACAAGAAAGGGCATCTGGTTTAAAATAAATGAAAGAAAAGACCATCATTATTTCCTTTAACTCTAAAAAGGAGTGTAATGCGGTGTCTAGTGATATCTCAACAGTGTAAACGGGCACAACAGTAAACTCGCATGGCTCTTAAAAGAAGTACTTCTCACAAACGGTGGCCGATGGTCCCCCACAAGCAGCTGTAAACATAATCACTTGCAGAATCACACAAAGGTGGAAGCACTTGGTCTTTGGTCTCTGTGTGGCTACCAATCTCATGGCATATGAATTAACATCACTATTTTCCACCACAGGCAGAACATGAAGGATAAATGCATTCAGCATGTGAGAGCTTAGGGCCAAATGACTGGATAATTGCTGGTGGCTGCTTTTTAGTGTCGGCCATGTTTTGTTTTGGTTGTTTTGAAGTGGGGGCAAACAGATGCATAGCAGAGATTTTAAGATTGTGAAAGTAGGCTCATAACTTAGTCAGGTGGTCCTGTGTTAATGTCCTATTTGGTCTATGCTTTGTTTAACAGTGTAATTGTACTAGTTTTACTATAGATAAGAACTTACTAAATGGTCGTAAAAGGAATTTGAATGTACTGCTATACTTGATCAGTTATGCTATGTATTCCCCTAAATTGAAGCATGTAAAAAGTGTTCCCTAACAAATTAAAGTAAGTAAGTAAGTTTTTATTCATATAACACTTTTCACACATATATGTTACAAAGATGCTTTTACAGAGCATTATTCATTCACTCCATATCTGGTGGAGGTAAGCTACTATTGCGTCTACCAATCTGCGCCATCAACCCTACCGATCACCACCATCACTCACACACCACTTCATTCTAGGCAATGTGGGTGAAGTGCCATGCCTAAGGATACAACAACAGTTTTTGCGACTGGCACCCCATTGTGGCACCTGATTTTCCCAGTGGTCTCCCATCTAAGTACTAACCAGGCCCAGCCTTGCTTAGCTTCTGAGATCTGACGAGATTAGGCTTTGATAAGCAGGTATGGCCACATGGCCAGATGTTTAAAGCACTTTAAAGAATGAGTCTTCTTATAAGCGTTAACAAACCATTTTCAACTAGCAAGTAGCCCTAAGTACCGGTAAGCATGAAGGATTACTCAAATGTAACTGAAAGAAATTATATACAATTCCAACTATGTTTTAAGGAGTGAAGGACATTGTTAAAATATTGAAAAAGTAACAAGTTTCGCATAATACTTGACACTTCCTCCAGTGACCCACAATGATAAGAAAACATTTAAATTTCCTGGTATGTTGTTCTTGTATCTAATTCTAAGATAAACATCCTTTGTCTGAGTCATAGCAGGTTAGTTTTACTCCATCTACCTTTTAACCTCCACCTTTCATTAGGAAAACTTGGATTACAACATGCACTTACTTCCTCAGCTTCCTCAGCCTCACTAAGGTGTCACAGCCTATGACCCCAGAATTATCCTAATCTGCAATGAGTTAAAAAGTGGGCCAATCTACACCTAAATAGATCAAATCAGATAGTAGGCTGTTACCTGAATATTCCTTTGACTTTTTTACACAAATACATGTAAGACACCTGGAATAAGAAGTATAGGAGTCCATGCATAAAGTCTCTAGGAAATGCATTGTGAGATGAGAGTGTGAGGGTCCATGCTTTAACAGCTGGAAAGAGATATTATCTTATAACGTCAGACCTGGAAAAGGATCCTCCCCAGATACAACTAGCCAGGACTGTGGGGTCGCTTATCCATGAAGCACAGAAAAATCTTAAAATGTGTTTTGCCAGTAGAATAATAATTGAGTTCACCAAATAAACAATTCTGAAAAAAAATTTAAATCTAAATCATGGGCCATAAGAAGACAGGTTAATACACGTCTGACACACGTTTACACATTATCTAAGCTTGCATTTATTACACAGACCATGTTTCACACTTTTTTACGGATCCTTTAAGATATTGGTATATATAAAAGAACCAAAGGACATGCAGCCAACAAGACACATTACTACACCATCACATAACACTTCTGAGGAAGGCTTCAAGAAGTAAACAAAACATAAAGCAGGTAAACAAACTCTCCTCTTTGAGAAAAATATTTCACATACCCTCCACCAGAAAAGTTACACAATGCACCCCTAATATTGTGAAGCTGGACTCTTGCTGCCCTGAAGGTTGCTCTGACTGTAGTGGCCATAACTCACCTGGGGGCAGGTCTGGGTCGCTGGGGGCAGCCTGCTGGATGCGTCGGGGCTTGGCTATGGTCTTGGAGCTGTCTGACACACTACGACTGGTGGAGCTGGAGCCACTCTCATGGTCATCCTGAAGAGAAAATACACACACAAGAAAATAATAAAAATCCTGTTTGTGGATGCAAACCTAATTAAAGTTTCATATGTTGATTCAAATATTCTTATTGGATTTCCATCAGTAGAGAAAACTCTAGTCAATAATTCCTTTAAGACACACAAATTCAACATAGCAATACAAATCCCAAATGCAAGTACAAAATGGCCGAGTACTGAAATGGACAGCTTGCAAATTGCTTCTTATATAGCAATTCCATGGGCAAGCCTTGTTGTTTTACCACGATAAAATAAACGATTTATAGATTTGTACTTGTATTCTTTGATTTTTGTGGCCTTGAAAATATTGTCTGTTGGAAGAGGACATACTTCAAGGCCTAGCAAACAATGCACACTCTTACACAGCTATAATGTTGCTTGACTAAAAGCAGCAAGACTAACATGCCTGCCAAACTCACTAATGAAGGCAAAAGGGTACCAAATCTAATAACTACTGTCTAAACAATACCTCAAATCCATGTTCACTGTGGACATAATCCTGCAAAAGTAAAAAATAATAGAACATGTATCACCAAAAAGGAAAGGAAACAAATCAGGTTAACATTAATGGTATGACGCTGACAATAGCTGTAGATCTGACAGACCTTTGTGCTACGTCCTGATGAGAGGTTAATCTTCTCTGGACAAAGTATGGCAATGGTTACATGTGTTTAGCATTTAAGCAAGGGATCAGCATAGTGGAGCATCGGGACTCACTCTTATCTCAGCTAATGTAAACACTAAAAGGTGTCAAAACTAACTATATTCTGCTAATCCATTCACATGCATTTTAATGCAGAAGTGCAGAAATTAATTCAGAACATATCTTGTGCTTAAACCACACACAATTGAGCAAATTGTAACATTAAAAACTTTTATTTTATTATTATTTTATCATATCATCATATATTATGACTTTTAATTGTAAATCATTTAAATTTATTTGACAAAATTATATGCATCCTGATGTTATTAATTGTTCACAGCAGCTGTGGCCGCTATCATTTTTGTACAATATAGGACTGAAATAAATATAAATAAAAACATGTCTATGTAGATGTCATATTTAGATGCTATACCACAATGCCCCTCTTAAATGCATTACAATTGGAAACTGCTGTAAACTCCCAGATCTATACTGTTAGGAATGCCTGTTGCTGCAGGCCAAGAGAACAGGGGTTCAACAATTCAAACTGCCACAAAAGGACAAGACTGCCAAATTTGGAAGTAGCGCAATTAAGCGCTCAATGTCACCGTGGGCAGTGAGTAATTCTCCAGAGATGAAACATGCCTTTTCAGAGGGAAGCCCAGGGACAAATGAAGTCTGGCTCAGCTGCTGCAGTGTAAACTGATCCTCCCAGTGCCACAGCAGGGCACAGCGCAGGGACTGAGCAACGGACACAGAGAATCTGGAGGGAATGAAAATCAGGGGGGGCTGCTTCCCCTAAAGGCATGTCAGCTCAGCTGTTGACCGAAGATGACGGTAGCAAAAAGGAAAAGAGAGACAAGAGACAAGAGATAAATGGAAAAAATAACAGAGGCAAAGAAAGCAAGACTTGGAGCAGCTGAGAACTATGAGATCAGATCAGAGATACAAGCCTGTGTGCTGTGAGTGGCAGGCGAGAGGACCCCCTACCCAGAGGGTAAGTGGGCACCTATGGAGGGTTAGGCCACAGGAAGGCCATGGCTGACCCCTGTCCTACAGGCATCTGGACTAGTACCAGGGGAGAAGGCTTAGCCTGTCTGGAGTCCACCCTCATCAGAGTTGCTAAATTCACCCCCCACTGAGACGAATCTATCTTCTAGAAGGGTTGAGACAAAAATAAACACTTAAGACAAGTATTAGATGATATTATTAGTATTAGATATTAGATGATAAAAGATGCAAAAAAATTAGAGAGGATATGCTTGCTTTTGACAAAGCCCGCTGGGGACTTGCTTAAGTCTTTTTTTGCTCATATGAATCTTGGCAGAATTTTTTATTTTTTCTCCCAATTTTAGGGTCCTTGCAACACTGTTGGACTACCCATGCTTGGGATAAATAGTGCATTTACTTACTTTATGTTTGTTCATACTACTTACAAAAATGTGTAGTTATAATGCTAAAAAGGATGGCCAACTTAAACATATACTAGTATAATAATGAAATCAATGTCATAATAACTGTGGAAGTAATGTCTTTTCACGAGAATTGTTTCCAGGCTGCACTTCTCTGACTATGAGAAAATAGCTTGGACTTTCAAACACAGTCATAGTTTGGTTCGAGTGATGTCAAATGTTATGTGGCCACTTCTCTTACACTTAAGCTCTTTCAACCACTGAGGACTGGCCCACTGTAATGAGTTACACAGCTCATCATAGGTCACTCAAATTACCTTTTCCTTTACTTCCCCTTGGCCTTTCATCATTCATCAGGTCAACTCAACAATTGATGCTAATGCCTTTTTAATGAAACTGTAACAAATGCATGAAACCATTACACTGTGATTAAAAACATGGTTTCATCTTTGTGTAATGTTAAGAGGATGCGAGGGAGAAATACAAGAACCATTTGGGCATCTAAGAACAATTGTTGAAATTAGCATTGCTCTAAGTCTGGGATAGAGCCAAGGCAGAAGTGTAGGTCAAAAAAACTCTTGTTGGGTTTACGTGTAAATTAAATCCACTAAAGTGGATATCTAAGTATAATAAATATCGACCTGTCTAGTAAAATCTACTGTAAAAATAAATAAATAAATAAATAAAGTAAGAAAGTAAGTAGTAGTAGCCAGACAAACGTTTTTGTAAGATCAAGGCTCAGCAAAATATTTTTTGTAGAAATAATATTTTTAGTTTCTTTTGTCTATGCAAAGTACTTAAAATGATAAAAATCTTCATATCTGCATGCTTAGAAGCAAAGGTTATTGTTCAAAAGTGATGGAATCTGAACTACTAAGCCAACTTATGGACAGAACTGCACTCGTCTCTACAATTGTACAGTAAAGCTGAGCAGCTGGAATCCATGGCAGATTGGAGGGATTAGAAAATGAAATGTACCCCGGTGAATATCAGATTGTGTGACATTGTGAATAATTATCTCAATGAAAACTGCTCATTACAAAAATGTGCACCCCTTCCACTGTTCAAGTAATAAAATCCACTACAGGGAAAGAAAATCCCCATTTGCTATGAATGTTCTCTGTTAATGAAATATTACATCTCTGAAATGTATACAATGTGGTGCAGTGTTTAACTAGAATTTTACATCATTTTTCTAAGCAAATAGTGCGTTACTTCTAAAGATCTGTGTAGCAGGAAGTGCAACTGAACACAGCTAAAATTAATGTTAATGTGCTGCTTCCTCTGTGTCCATCAGTAAAGAATCTTTCATGTTACTTTAAAGTTACACACCAAATGGTAAGGCAGCTATTCTCCACACTGTATATGAACTACAAATATGGATGTGCTTGTCATTTTAAACAAGCCTTCCAAAGGCTACAGAATCACACAGCAACAAAAAACGAGGGTGAAGAAAGCTCACGGTTCACTTTAAGTTTTTCCTGTCTGGAAATGGCCTGTTGTTCCAAAAAGGAAAGGCCATTGTCACAAAAAGGTGAATAATTATGAAACCATTCCAATACAAATCCAATAAGTACAATAGTAGTTCTCCTGACATCCAAGTAAGGTGTTGTCAAAATGTTCATTCACTTAAGACCAAATTAATCAATCACAGCAGTCCCCAAAGAGATACGTAGTGGCCTAATGCTGAACTTGTGCTGGCAGCTATGACAGCAGGGAGGCACTGTATAAAAAAATTAACTCACAAAAAGAAATGTTATTAAAGATACAAGTGACTGTTGAGTTAAGTAAAGAACCAATTTTCACATTTCCATTTGTCAATGAGGTGTGTGTTCTATAATAAGTCACTGTGACATCCTATATCTTATAGTTTGCAGTGTGCTTTTCAGGGTGTTTTTGTTTATTATATCAAAACATTTTCCTTACACATGTTGCATGAGACTTCATAAAAGTCTAAACTATGCTCTAGTTCAATTTTACAATGCTATTTAATGTTAAATTTACTCACAAGTTTGATTAGTATGGCATATTTAGTCTTCTAAATATTCTTTTCGATGTCTTCAGAGCTCAAAACCATCAATTCCATCAAGTGCACCTACGTGTCATTACACTAATTATGTTCATTTTCAGTGCTCAAATTAGCTACAACAATTTCAAGCTAGAAGCCACTGTTTTCAGCTTTATCTGAAGAGCTCCTGAGTGTGCCAGCACAAGGCAAGTCTTCCCTGATGTTTTGTATCCTTATATACAGTTGAATAACTTGCACTTGTTTTCTCATTCATACACTATAGTTTAAGCCCAGGAGTAGTTCAAGAAGTTTTGATATGAATAATGCATCAAGTAATATAATATATATATATATATATATATATATATATATATATATATATATATATATATATATATATATATATATATATATATATATATATATATATATATATATATATATATATATATATATATATATATATAAAGTAAAGGCATCAGTGGTGCCTGTGGTGATCGGAGCACCGGGAAAAACAATGGACATCTCAGTCCAGAAAAGTGCAGTACTTGGAACAGCAAAGATACTGCGCAGAACTCTCAAGCTCCCAGGCCTCTGGTAGAGGACCCGAGCTGAATGAGGGTGAGAGAGACCTACCACCGTGGAAGATGAGAAACACTTTTATATATATATATATATATATATATATATATATATATATACATATACATATACATACACACACAGCTGAATCTATACAAATAACAGAAACGGAAGGTGTTTTGACTCTAGTTCCACGGGCCTGATGAAGGTGGCGTGATGGAATTTGGAAAACTGCAGAATTCCTGATCTCAGGTATCTCCATTCTTTTTATTGGAGTCGAATGTGACTCTGCCACTGGAAGTTAACATTACCTGAACTTTAATCCACAT